CTTTGTCAAATTAGACCGACACCGCTTCACCCAAAGGATCGAATTGATTCGGATATCTGTGTAGAAGATGTGGATTATGAAGGTTTTTTGAAGTGCATCCAAACGCCTTCTACCCAATCGACCCTTACTCCTTGTTCTTTTCTTCCTGCATTTTCGGTTTCTAAGTGCTACCTTCGATGGTGGTGTGGTTATTACACCGACAAGATGTTTACTTTCGAGGACTTCTCTCGGAAACTTACGAATTCTCCCTTTTCTCTGCAGGGCCCGAAGATCTCAGGTATTTATGATAATTGCAACATTATTTATCAGTTTGGACAATATTACAGAGTTTGTTATCGCCCCGACAATATGTTTCAAACTATTTTTTATGCTTCTTTATCCCTGTCTAGAATGGTACAACGGAACATCCATCAAAACAAAGTCATTGATCCTCAGGGTCAAACTGATTTTGAAAAGTTTTGTCCTAAGCACATACCTCCTCTTCCCAATGCCCTTTTTGGTCTTGCGAAACGTCTTGATTATCCTCCTTGGGTGAGAACCCTTGATCCCTTGTATGAGGATAACAAGAATATTCCTGTTAAAGATTGAGTGACGAGTGCGAGATGTTCTGTGTATGATTTTCCCAGGGATAAACAATGGCCTTTGTTTTGGGTTGACAACACTGTTGTCTATCCTGGTAATTAAACTTTACCTCTTTTCCTTTTGTGCTGGCTTTGAATCTCACATCTCTAATCATTTTTTGCTTTCCTCGGGTTCAGCTGCTGTCGCCCAAAAAGTTGATCAACATCAAGAGGATTCTTAAATCCAGGAGATACCTTCAGAGGATGAGGAAGATGACACTTCGATGAAGCCTCGAAAACGAAAGAATCTTTCTGACTGACTTCGCTCTCGCTCGAAGGTAAGATACGTCCCTTCTTCTGGAATTGTACTGAATCTATGGCCGTTCATGTATCTGTATTTGTTCTTCGTAAGAGGCCAAAGTTCCCAAGAAAAAACTCTGTTCGGATTCCCATAGTGGTCAATTTGTAAGTTATCTTTTTGGGCGCACACGAAATTGTTACTCGAACGCCATTCTGACCTCCTTGCCTTTCAACATTTTTCAGGTTTCCACCACTTGGAGGTCTTCCCGAGACAAAAGGAAACAAAAAGCAATTCCGACTAGGTTTTTCCCTAGACCGAAAGTTCCCGCCGAGAAGCTTATGAAGGATGCCATGAAATCCCCTGTTTAAGTAATGTGCTTGCTTTTCGTACAAACGACCTTCACTACTTTTCTCTTGATTCGATTTTATCCTCCGTAATAATTACTCTTTTTCAGAAAAAAGTGGATTCAGAGGTATCTGAATCTTCTTCTGAGAGCCCTCGAAGTACCCCTACTTCTCCTACCGCTGCTCTATCTTCTCGAGAGGTTATCGAAATACGTGAATCAGCGTCTCCTCCTGAACGTCCTTTCGAGGTATGTTTTGTTGATTTTCGATTTCACGTTTTTGGCCTTCCTCGAACTTGTGCATCGTTACAATGCTTTTCTTAATAGGTGGTTTCTTCCAATGTTCTTACAGCCACCGTTCCTATCATCGTGCCAACCATCGAACCTTCCCCTTCGAGTCCATTGCAAGGTGATGCACCCTCCTTCAATTTTGACACAGGGGTGTCCTCTAGACAAGGTGGGTGATTGTTTTTGGGCATCATGCTTATTCCAAAGATTACCTCCGACTTGAGAAAATATCCTTTTTTTTGTACAGGTCTAGAGGTAACCTCTAAGGATAAACAAACTCCTCCCTCCGGTCAACTTGCGAGCTCAACTAATGTTGTCCCCTCCAACACTCTACTAGCTTCTATTCCTCCTGATGACATAGACCTCATAAGCTTCTTTGATGACGAAGCTGCTCAAGATGAAATTTTTGAGGTCCTAGAGAATTGGACTAGTGGAACTTCGGCCTCGAGGAGGACCCAAGAAACTGTTGCGAGCTTTCAACCTCTATTATCTTCCTTCCATTCAAAGGCCTATGTGGATCATCTCAACCAAGCTCTCATGGATCCCCAATTCAAAATAGAAATTGAGCAGATGGTTGATGATTTGAATGCATTTCCTGATCTTCCTGCGGAGGTAACCACAAAATTAAAAGAATATGCGCATACTTTCGATGCTGCCTCCGAATTGCACACGAAGTGGTAAACTTCGAATCAGAAGATGGCTCAAATCGAGGCTGATATTGAAGAGGACCGAACCAAATTGGAAAAGCTCAAAATAGAACTTATTTTGATCAAGGACTCCACTTCCCAAATAGTTCCAGAATTGATGAAGCTTAAGCAATCTGAGGAAGAGACGGAGCGTACCCTTACTGTCCTGTAACGAGAGCTTGATTCGATCAAGTCCAAACATTCTTCTTTGAAGCTTCAAAGCCAAGATATCATGTTGAAGCAAAAGGGTTTGAGGGATGAAGGAAAAGGCATATCTCTCAGACTCTCGAAGTCATTAGATCAAAAGAGAAGATTGAAAGTATTGTGTGCTTCGCGGAAACAAAGTCTCGATCAAGCATATCAGGCATTTGAAGCACTTAAATACAAATTCTGCACGTGATCGAGAACTGAGAGATGCCTATTTATATTTTAATATTTGTCCACTTATACCTTTATTGCTTATCTCTTTGAACACTTGACTCAGTACATGCTACTTTCATGAAATTTCTTCAAGTATTTTCCATTGATCACTTTACTCGTATTTCTCGAATTTATCTATGTGATCAAATATGCGTTGTTCGAGTAGAGTCTTTCAATAACGAACGGTCCTTCCCAATTATAGGACCATTTTCCACGATCTCGAGATTTCTGGTCCATTGGGAGGATAACTTTTAAGATTAAGTCTCCACTGGAAAATTGTTTGCTCCTGACCTTTTTGTTGTAAACTTTAGCTATTTTCTCTTTCTAGTGAATGACATTTTGCATGGCTATCATTCTTTCGTCATCCATTCAAATTAGTTCATCATATATTAAATTCTAATAATCCTCAACTGGTAACTCATTTTGCCTTTGCACATGAACGGATTGTAAATTGATATCAATAGGAAAAATTGTTTCGTGACCATAAACCAATTTGTATGGCGTAGTTTGATTGGCATTCGTTGGTGAATTTCTATAAGCCCACAATACTTGCAGTAATGTTTCATGCCAATTTCGAGGTTTCCCTGAAATATGTTTTTTGATCAAAGCTATGATCCCTTTGTTAGCAGCCTCGACTTGGCCATTAGCTTGTGCATAGTAGGGTGTCAAAGTAATCAGTTTGATTCCTCTCGGCTGAGCATACTGCACCACTTTTCGACCTGTGAATACCGTTCCTTGATCTATAGTTATTGTATGAGGTATTCCGAATCGAAATATAATATGGTCTTCAATAAAATTTATCACTTCTTTTTGATCGACCTCTTTTACAGGAATTTCTTCCACCCACTTCGTAAAATAATCGATGGCTATAATTATGTACTTATGGTTCTTTATTGACGGAGGATGGATCTGACCAATTACGTCAATTGCCCAACCTTGAAATGGCCAAGGTTTAACAATCGCATGCAACTCAATTGCTGGTACTCAATGTATTGGGCCATGCTTTTGGCACTCGTCGCAACTTTTTGGAAATTCGATATAGTCCTTGAACATACTTGGCCAAAAGTATCCTTTTCTGGACAAAGTCCATTTCATTTTCTCCCCCGCCTGATGAGCACCACCAATACCTTCATGTACCTCTGCCATGGCTATGTAACTCTCATGATTTCCAAGGCACTTAAACAAAACTCCATCGAACCTTCTCTTATATAGTTCATCGTTCAATATCACATAATTGAGAGCTCGATATTTAGTTTTTCTTTCAGTTTGCGAATTTGGAGTTTGTAGATACTCGACTCAACTGATTCCTTATACAAACAAGAGATTCGAGACATTCTCTGCTTATCTTGTACCTGGATGTGATCTGAGCTAATTCATTCGCAATTTCATTCTCGTTACGAGAGATGTGTTCTAATTGGACTTCGTCGAATGAATTTAACAAAGTTGTAGCTCGAGATTTGCATTTGAGTAACTTTTCATTCATGCTTTTATATTCTCGAGTTAATTGTTTAATTACGAGTTGTGAGTCACCTCGAATGATTATGTTCCTTTCCCCCAAATCCTTAAGCAATTTTATCCCAGTAATCAATGCTTCATATTTAGTTTCATTATTCGAGCATTCGGATTTCGTTCTCAGTGAGAATTTGGTGGGGATCCCACCCTGGGAAATAATCAGTAATCTGATTCCTGCTCCTAACTCATGTTTCGATCCATCAAAAAATAGTTCCCATGATTTCATGGTTAAATAATTAACCTGTTCTATTAAATTCGAGTGATCCACGAGAAAATCAGCGATTACTTGTCCTTTTGTGGCATTGAGGGGAACAAACGTTAACGAATACTCGGTCAATGCAAGAGCCCATTTTCCAACTCGAGAATGCAGGATAGGTTTAGATAACATATATTTAATCACATTATTTCGACAGAATACGAATACATCATAAGGCTTAATATAATGCTTTAACTTTGTACAAGCATAATATAAACTCAGACATAACTTCTCCAAAAGAGTGTATCTGATTTCTGCCTCAACTAACATCTTACTAATGTAATAAATGGCCCTTTTGATACCATTTTCGTCATCTTGCGACAGCATGCCCGCAATAGTCGAATCATTGGCCGAGACATACAATTTTAGCTTTCTTCCTTCAGAGGGTGGCACCATCATTGGAGGATTGATTAAATAAGTCTTGATCTCCTCAAATTCCTTTTGATGATCTTCATCCCATCGAAATTCTTCCTCCTTTTTTAGACGTAACAAAGGGGAAAACACCTTAGTCTTTCCTGATAAGTTCGAAGTAAATCTTCGAAAGAAATTTATCTTACCTAACAAAGACTGTAACTCCTTCTTATTCGAAGGAGGCTTAGTTTCCATGATTGCCCGAGTCTTGTTCTTATCTACTTCAATGCCTTTCTAGTGTACGACGAACCCTAGGAAATTCCCCCGCTGAAACACCGAAAGCACATTTCAATGGATTCATTTTCAACACATGTTTCCTCATTTTCTCGAAAGATAATTTCAGCTGTTGTATGTGATCCACTTTTCGTTTCGATCTGATCACTATGTCATCAATATAAACCTGCATGAATTTTCTGATCAGGTCATGAAAAATTAAGTTCATTGCTCTTTGATATGTTGCCCCAGCATTTTTCAAGCCAAAAGGCATTACTACCCATTCGTAAGTCCCCAAAGTACCTGGGCACCTAAAAGCAATTTTTTGACACATCATTTTTAGCAATATAAATCTGGTTGTACCTAGAATTTCCGTCTAATAAACTTAAAATTTCATTACCTGTGACGGCATCGATCATTATTTCCGCAATAGGCATGGGATATGCATCCTTAGGGGTGGCTTCATTCAAATCTCAAAAATTGATGCATACCCTCATTGTTCCATTCTTTTTTATAACAAGCACAATGTTCGATAACCAATCGGCTTACCTCGAAGTACGAATGAATTTGGCCTTCAGTAGCCTCTCGATCTCTTCTTTGATTTTTTCGATCACTTGCGGAGCAAACCTTCGTCGGTTTTGTTTCACTGGTTTCTTCCCCAAAATCATAGGTAACCTATGTTCTACTAAATTTTGATCCAAACTAGGCATTTCTTCATAATCCCAAGTAAAGAAATCTTTATATTCGTGCAAGACTTGCACGATTTGCTCTTTAAAACTCTTCTTCGCCAGTTTGCTAATATAGGTGATTTTTCTCTTTTCAATTGTACCCAGATTGACTTCCTCCAGAGGATCCTGAGATTCCACTTACACCCCTCATTTTCCATTCTCTTGAATCCTAGAGGTGCATCGTTAAAGACACAATTGAGTCTTTCTTCGATTCTTTCAGAGTCCCTACTTTGTTCATCATCGATTCTTACTCTGAGAGACTTTTTCTCAGTTGTTTCGGTTAACACTTTTTGGTTTTCCTCTTTTTCTTCGGCCTTCGTGGCCGTCATCTTTTCGACCTTCATCGAATGTATGCCCCCTTGGGCTATTTCAACCTTATTACTTTCATCGGCCTCGTTGGTCGTTCTTTCCGCCATGTAAGCCGAAATTCAAGCTAAGAAGCTCGAACAAGGATCTTGTCTCATCATTCTCGCACTTGAGCCGATTCAGTTTTGGCTCTGTGAATAACAAATCCCCTTCGAACATCCCAACAGAAAGTCTTCTTTACACCCTTTTCTACCTGCAAGACATATGGGTCTATGGCATCGAAAGACTTAGTTTTCGCGAATGCAGTAATTTGTTAATCCGCGAAATACATTCCCATCTCATACTCTTTTTGATCTGCATCCAACACTTCTAGGTGTTCGTCATCATTCTAGAAAAAGACTTTCTGGTGCACTATCGATGGTACTGCTCCCATTCCGTGGATACATTCTCTTCCCAGCAGCACATTAAAGTTAGCTTTCGAGGAAGTAACAATAAACATGGTGGTCCTTTTCACACTACCAATTTGGGCATCCAACAATATCATCCCTTCCAGTTGCGAAGACTTTCCTGCATAGTCAGAAATAAGGATATTGTGAGGTTTTAGATATGCCAAAGTCTTCCCAAAACATTTCAGTATTGTTTGTGGGAGTATGTTTATAGCAGCACCTCCATCCACTAGGACTTTGTTGACTTCAACTCCTTCGATCATAAGGGTCAACAATAATGGTTTCAGATGGTCCTTCATCTCTTGGGTAGGTGAATCGAACACGGCTGAATTAAATTTTGGAATGACTTGAGAGATTTGATTCACCCATACTATTTTTGACTCATAGTTGGGGTCACCGGTGTATGTCCTCCTATTCATTCACAGATTCCATTGCTTTAGCGTATTTAGAAGGTAGGATTGACACCACTCCACAAATATCTTTGAGGGAGTCCTCGAAGCCACTTTCGAAACAATTCGTAATCAAATCCTCCTCATCCTTTGAGAATTTATTAGATGCCTCTCCTTCGTAAGGTACAGGAATCGAAAATTGATTACCTTTGTGTCCCTTGAAATTTGCCTTTCTCATTCTTTGTTGCCTTCTCCACTGAGTCTTGGTAAGTCCATTAAAAGGATATTTAATTCCCCTTCCATATCCTCCCTACATCTTCGACATGAATCTGGGTCCTCCAGAAAATGGGTTTTTCGAGTAGTTCACAATTTGTTTTCCTCGACCCACTCCAACATTAGGCCTTTGTGGAGTAGTCCACTACCCAATGGGAACATGTGCATTTGGCAAGTATGTATTACCAACTCGAGAGGAGTTGTACATCTCCATCTTTCAGATGGGGGTCATAGGAGCATTGCCTTATGGCATATGAACTTGACACATTACTATGTCAGTGTTCACTTTCGACTTTCCTCGAGCCTTCTCAACTTTATACCTTTTCATAATCTTGACTCCTCAAAAGCCTTAGCCTCAGATCTATCAAATATAGCGCTACATCTCGGACAAAGCATAACTTCCCGATCATCATCTTTCTTCCTCGAAAGGAAATCGAGCAAACTGTCACCCTTTTTCGGATAAATGGGTTCTTCCTCTTTCGCGAACTCGTCTAAGAGCTCTTCAGTTTTTCATCCATAATAGGTTCAACAATTTCCTCCTCGTTCACAACCAAGTCAACCATATTGATTTCTAGCACATTGATCCCCATCAGGAGAGGTTCCACATATCCTGCTTGTGCAGTGAATGGATCAGTATCGATTTTCATCTCCTTCTCCTCGAAAGCCAAGCGACCATCAGTAATCGCTTTCTCGATCATGTCCCTGAAACGTACACAATTGTTAGTCCAGTGACCATACATGTTGTGATACTTACAAAATTCTTTCCCTTTTCTTTGTTCAAAATGAGGAATTTTATGATGTTCCGGAAGTGTAATTTTCTTATCTTTCAATAAAATATCAAATATTTTATCGGCTTTCGTTACATCGAAACTATACTTCCTATTCGAACCAGCCTCTGTATTATTTTCCCCAGGTTTTAATAATTGGCATTGATAAGTTGGCCCGGGTTGTTATTCAACTAAGTTCACTTCCATTTCTTCATTTAGACTCTCGAAATTATCATCTTTAACGTCTATATTGTCTAAATATGCCACTTTTTCTTTTTGAACGAACTTGTCAAATTTTCTCAACCTTTCTTTCTCTGCTCGAATTTGTTCAATTCGTCTCACTTTCTTTGCTAGTTGAGCCATATCTCTCAATTGCTCATTCATAAGTTTCTTTCGAATAAAAAAATCTAACCCAGTGGCTTCAATTTTTACCAACTCATGCTCAGGAATATTCGTGTAACATCGAGACTTTAGCTGCCTGAATCTATTCAAATATTCGTCCAATGTCTCATGATGTTGCCTCTTTATATTCATCAGATCAACTATAATCACCTTGGTTTCTTCTCGAAAAAAGTGTTCGTGGAAACTCCTTTCCAGTTGTGCCCAAGTAATAATCGAATTAGGTGACAAAGTCGTAAACAACGTCAAAGCATGTTTGGTTAGTGAACTTGGAAAATATTTCATTTGCAGATATTCATTACTCACTAGGTCTCCACACTCGACTAAATATCTCGCTATATGTTCTACGGTGGATTCACCTAACTCCTCTGTGAATTTCGAGAATTTAAGGACTTTCGTCCCCCTGGGTAGTTCAAATTGGTGATATAGTCAGGAAAGGAAGATACAAAGTAAGGGTGCTCATTTCGCCCCGTTTCAAATCCGTGCCTATTCAGTACCCTCTCGACTATATGATCCAAGTTTTCCTCGACGTTTCTTAGAGGTTCCCCTTGATTGAGGTGAATTCGAGGTCTAACAACCCGTGGAATATTTGTCTCATTAATGGTCGGCTTTTCGAAACCATTCAAATTCACACACGTATCTCTTGAAGGCCGATTATCATTGATTTTATCTCTTATTTTGTTCATCAGCTCATACAGGGGTGTGATTATGTTGTGCATTTGCATAGACAACAAATTTACCATATCGTGGTTACTATGATCCATTTTTTGTCGAAGGGCTATCATGGTATCACTGCTTATACCCGTGGGTATATAATTACTTTGTCGAACCAATGACCCTTCTTGGCTTGTGCCAACATGCTGGTGAGGATTGTGCATGATAAAGCCCATCCCATTTAGGGTTGCATTATACCCATATGATGATATTTGCATTTGAGGATTCTGCCCAGAATATGGTATTGGCATTTCTACGCTCATGGGCTGGGTAATTCTCCAATTGGGAGGCATCCTCCATGGGTATTCGCGGGTAGCGTTCACCATTTCTTGTGACGCATTCAGAAATCTCGCGGGTTTCGGAATACTTATAGGAGGTGGAGACATTGCCCCCCTAGTCTCATTTGCCACATTTTCTTGATTTGTATTCCGATTTTCTCCATTACCCTGTTCTTCATTATGCACATCTCTTCTACTGGATGTAGACATAGTTCTCCCACTTCTAAGTCTCATAAAAATATACACACACACAAAACTAGTTGAATTAAGTTCACCAAATGAGTCCCACCGGGCGTGCCAATTCATTTGTGGAGGATTTCGTTCATAAGTTCTTTTTATTCGAACTAGCACGATTTCAATTTATGCATGTTCGTGACATGACAGATTCAAAGACTTTTAGTGAAAAAATCATACAAACAACAAATAGAGTTAATTGATTAGGGTGTTATTTTAGCATAATAGAAGATCTATGCTTGTTTTAGCATACCAGAAGATCTATGCTTGTTGTTTTTAGCATAACAGAATATCTAAGCTAATCATATAATCAATTTCATGCATGTAAGTGTTAACGTGAACCGAACAAATGACATGTATATTGACTGCAGAAATCATATCCTTCATTAGATGATAATAAAATTACAATTCGTAAGGATAACGAAATAGATTCAGATGACTACACTACACTAGACTACACTATGCTATGCTACACTAAAAAAGGAAAAAAGAAAGGTGGTCGAGAAACCGTACCCAGCTGTTCTCGTATGCACGTGAGCCTTATGCGTAGGCAAGGAGTGCGTGTGAGGTGTTGTAGGTGTGTGATTTCTGACCCTTTGCTACGAGCATGGCTCGTCAATTTATGGAGATTTGGGAGAGATAATTGTATCTGACGTGCTCCAAAAATGCATAACCGCTCTAAACTTCCACATTGTGGCTCATTTTTGGGCACGTCTTTTGATAAATCCTGGAACCGTTCATAACTTCCCCAAACCGCTCTGCAGTCTTTGACACTTATCCCATGATTTACTTCAACCGCTCTTAAATCGTGTCTCTTTTAAGTTCTTCATTCTGAGAGGTTGGAAAGTATGCTCGTGTACATCCAGATCCTTGGGATTTCGAGTGACCAACGAAAAGTATACTTGAATATTTCCTGATTTTTTATCGTACTTTTAGAGGTTGTGAAGCTGTGAGCCTTATTCATGAGCAACATCCTTCCTGGTTTAAGGATTTCGAGAGTTTCACGAAAAACGTTTTCGCGTATCTCTTGATTCTCTTCAGACTCTGTATGTCTCCTCTTCAGAAACTTCTTTGTCATTTTTCGATCACCCAAGATTTCGAGTGCCCCTATATTTCGAGTATCACCAAATTCATTTCTTGGGACTAAAACCTAGAAAGAGAAAATCATCAATTAAAATATCCAAATTTTGAATAATTCATTCTCGATTTTCCTTTTTACATGAAATGTGCACCCTATATATAGCCTTCAACTATGTGCATAATAGAAGTCTTTTGACATTTCAAGAACTCCCTAAATAAGTCCTATTAACAACCAGGATAAAAGACTACTAAATGGCTATTCAAATAAAAGTGTAACTGCCTAATAAAAAAAATTAAAACATGCAGCCTACAATTAACCAGGCTGGCCGCCCCTAATAATCAAATTGTAACAACCAAATAAAATGATAATTAGCATTACAATTAGCCACTATTTGATGAGAATCTTGCCGTCCCTTTTAATAGAAAAAGAAACAGCCATATTAATCGCATCTCAGCCAAATTGTAACAGCCCCTTGCCTTTTTATTGGAAGCAATAATTCAGCTCATCTTAATTCTGGCCAACATCCTTG